GTTCAAAGTATGCAGTGAAAAATCTTATTAAAATGCATAAATTATTAAGGGTAAAACGAAAGTTCAAAACGAATTGCAAATTTAGGACTGTGATCTGCTGAAGATTTTTTACTATGTTATTAAAGCAAAGCGATAAAATCATTTTTTCTTTAGCTTTAATAAGTGTAATGTTTTGTACAGAAGACCAAATGTTTTAAATTTTAATATACTTATAATAATTCAAATTACCATCAAATGAAAAAGTTCTGAACCAGCTACTTATTTTTTATTCAAACCTACATATTTCCTTTTTTGCTTTGTAACTAAATATATTCCAATTTTACATAAGTTTCAATAATTTAAAGGGAAAAATTTAAATATCTGTAATTCTACTTGCAGAATATTAAGATACGACAGAAGGATTTTTATCATAGTTAACTTAGCAGAAAGAAGCGTCTTTTAATAGCAGTGTCTTAAGTAATATTTCAAAGTTTAAACTATATAAATAACATTTAAATTAGAAAAAGAAAAGATTAAAAGTAGGAATAACAATTGTGTACACATCTGAGCTCTATTTACTCTGCTAAAATATGCAGTATCATTACATTAAAAATGTAACATTAATATTCATGTATACATTTTGATGCTGGCATATGTAACTTAAAGTTCACAAGAGTAAAAATTCGTGTGCATCAATTTAGCATGTGCATCCTAAATTAAAAATTAAGCTATGATCAATTATATACAGTGTCTCTTTATCCAAAGGAAGAAATTCTATGTCTCTGTATCTATACAATGAGTTCAGAAATTTGTTTATTTTAGAATATTTTTAGAATAACTTACTGACGATAAGTTATAGCATTTTACGGGGGAATTATGTGGCACTACATTGCAACATTTGGGATGCCTGAAAAAGAAATGTCAAATCAAATTCACTACTCTTAATATTATATGAATTTTTAGAATTTTGAAAGTAATATTGCAGATTTACATATTCTTATCCCAATACTGCGTAATTTTATAACACTTTTCACACATATGATTTCATTTCAATAATATCTAGTGTAAACTTCTTAACATAACTTTTACTTAGAACCGGAGGTGCTATTAATCTCGACCCTCACTTTTCAAATTAAAGGATGTTGCCACCAAATATTTTATGCATAATTTTTAAAGAAATAACATTGTGAATAGAAAAAAGTACGATAACACAAATAAAAGAATGTGGTCATCAGATTTTATCGCCATGTGTAGTCTTAACGATGTAATTCAGCAAATATTAAAAAATAATGTATGGTACACAAGTAAAAGAATGTTGCCATCAAATGTTATCGTCATGTTTATTTTTATGGAAATAATACGGATATATAAAAATGTATGGCAACATTTAATACTCTATCTGAAGTCTAAACAAATGTTGTTTTTCAATATTTTGTGATTTTGCTTTGAATGTTATAGGGCATAAATGAGAAGAAATCTATGTTCTATAATAAAGTTAAAAAGACAAAAAAAAAGTTATGTTAACAGGAGCGAGTCCAACAACAAAACAGCAAACTGCAAGTTCAGAGAGAGAATAAGAAACCTTCGAACGCTCTAGTGCAACGTAAAAATCAGATTTTTCAGATTCAGCCTTTCAGATTTTCTTTTTTTAGTTCTGTTACTTAAAAAATATTAAATATATATAAAAAATTCTTTCAAATTCTTCTACACTATACAGTAAATATAACTCTGCAGCACATTTAACTCGTCTTGAGAAAGTATGCCGAAGTTGAAAAGAAATATTTATTGTAGTTAAGTTTTAGTAAAATCTTTATTTCAGCATCACTAAATTGCATTGTTAATGCCACTTTTAATTCGATATAGCTGAATAATAAATTGGCCTGTCAAATTAATTTTGGTTTTTCTCAGAAATAAAGCTTAACTTCTTTGAGGTTTATTAAATCTAACTATTTTCTAAATATAATAATTAAGCCCTTTATAGACATAATATATTAATTATAATATATTAAAATGACTACAAACTTGAGATGAGGATAATTAGTAGGATTTTTTTTATCGTAACCATCTAAGAACTGTTTTTCATCAAGGAAGTTGAGTACTAAAATAATAGCTATACATACATTATAAAAATGGAAGACATGAATAAAATTAAAAATATTTTAATAAACATAAATTAAAGTTTTAATATTTATTAACACTGATTTTTAAAATGCATTTTTGCATTGCATAACTAATGGAAAATATTTAAATTTCATATGATAATATTACATGAAATGATGAAGATATCTATTTATTTTTACAAGCATCATAAATAACAATCTTCATTGCAATCAAATTCTAGGAAATTTGAGAGAAGAATAGCGAAATCTTAAAAAAGAACATGATTTCTAATTTTCCATTTTAAAAAAAAGGAACAAACTTTAAATGTAATAATTGTTTTAAAAATCCTTCAGCTCCCAAACTGCTGTCAGAGCTAAAAGCATCAGGATGTGCTGCCATAAATGCACAATTTTCTACCATAAATTCAATATATGCATTGAAAAATAAACAAGATATTTTTAGGCATTTTTTTGCTGATATAATAGCAAGTTATCTCATTATTGTACTAGACTGGATTACGGCAAAGCAGCTCGAGGACTGCTTAAAGGGAGAGATGACTTTATGAAGGATTGTTTAAAGGAGATTGGCTCGCTTCCCATACAATTACACCGTTTGTCAGGATTTGAATGCCGGTCGAACTAGCAACGTTCAGCTATTTTACCATTCAGCCATTCAAGTTATTCCTTAGCTTATTACTTTAATAAAACTGCGAGCGTGAGAGTGACAGTTTCTTACAACCAGTTTATTACAAATCGTTGATTTCTTGATCCACATCCTTTCAGTTAACTAGTCTCTAAAAACATAACACTTACTTCAACTTATTTAAAGGAAATAAAATTAAAATATATTTAATCTTTTTTGCTCACAATATAATGCAGATAAACAAACTAGAGTAATACAAATCTTGCACTACTGGCCTGTACCTCTTTCATGTAAGTATAAAGCCCAATGAATAAAATTTTAATATACTTTTTAATATACTTGTAAAAATAAAATAAATATAAATTTTAATATACTTGTTTCTACATCGACAATTTTAGTTTGGGGATTTTTTTGGAATTGCTAAAAGACTACTGTACTAAATAAGTTACAGTCTGAAAACTTCAGATGACAGTCTAAGACTTCGAAGAGTTTGTCATTAAAATTTTAAACAGTTAAATATATATTGAAAAATTTTTAAGGATCAAATTTATAAGATTAAAAAGAAATTCCACTCTCGCCTTGATATGCAGATTTTATTTTAAGATGAGAAACAACTTTCAGTTAAGCAATTAAGGCATGCGTACTAGTTTCACAGTCACACTGTTAGAAATTTTTTGTAATGGCCGGACACTTTATTTAGTAGTTATTAGCCCTGCGGGGAGAGGTCGGAAGTGTGGTCATTTCATTACGGAAGCAACTAATAGGTGGCCACCGTCACCTCCAATGAAGGGATGTACAGTTACAACCATGACTTTTCCGGGATTCGAACCCAGGCCCCCGCTCCAGCAGTCAGGGTCACTAACCACTATACCGGCTGGGAGCACACTGTTAGAAATTAAAGATATAGAGAGTTTTATATTTAAAATGATCTGTAAAAAAAGGACAAAACCAAACTGTTGAAAAAAAGCTGATATTATTTCATTGTATAATAGTAACGTGGAGACTTTACACTTATTTAATGAAGAAAAGACTTAAATGTTTCAAATGTAGTGAGTATTTATTTTAATGGATCCCTTGCGCACTAGGTTTGAAACAAGTATTATTCTTGAAATGGCAGTACTTTGTGTTTTGCCAAGACAAAATATCTGCGAAATGAAAACAGTATACATTTCGAAATTTTCCTGCCATATGTTTAAAAGGAACAAACTTCACGCTCTCAGATTCTGTCATTTTCAATTCCTAGCTTTAGAAGGTTAGACTACTTCGTATTGTAAATGAAGTTTTGAACTTTACAAAAGAAACTTTTGTTCACTTTATTACGCTATGTGGAATAAAATTTATAATGAATTGATGGAAATTGATTTGAAGCTCTAAAGCTTCTCTCAGTTATAAATTATTTTTAATTTTTCAAAGTTGTTATATTTAAATAAATAACAGACCTTATTAATGACTTATTGACGAAGAACATTTTTATGCCTACTGCATTCGAAAATAATTGTATAATAGCTGTATAACCTAATTATTTAACAATGACAGAAAAAGTTCTGAAACAAATCGATTAAAATATTTTGTAACATAAAATCTGATATTTATTTCAGGAAAAATAATTAATTTATTTTGCTAATTAAAATGTTACAGAAGTTTGAATTCGCTGTTTCTATAAAATGGAAAACATGCCAAAAGAAATTTTTACACATTCGAATGCTTTTTATTCTAATCTGATTATTTTTTATTCAAAAGATTTTTTAATAAATAAATAATGAGATTTGAGATTTAGATATTTATGAATTCGAGATTTTTATTTATTTAAAAGTATGGACTGTTCTGCTGATTTTATATCAATCTTTCACAGCTATAAATAAATCTATTCCATGTATAAAATTAGCGTCAGACTTGGAATCACCTGCAAACAAATTATGATTTAATGGATATGTAGCTGCTTGGTTAAGTGAATTATATCAGGCGTACCATAATAAAATAACTATGTACAGTTTCTTGTCAAAAAAATACAAATTGCGTGAAAGTTTAAAAAGCATAAAACATGCTGAAAATTTTTAAAAGTAGCTCACATCAAGTTCAATGTGAAACGGCCAGCTTTGAATTCAAAAACATTCTTTCCCTCTGTTTGATATATATAAAAAAATATTAAACATTTGAAAAGGACATCAAAGTGGCCAAGCGGCTATTTGATGGGAAAACAGCTTGGGGATTTTCCGGTCATCCGTGTAGGGAATTTTTCTCATTCCTGTTTTTTCAAGCGTTTTACTTTCCGCGGCGGCTTTATTTGTTCAACTTCAGTTGCATTCCACATTTCTAATCGCTAGCTAGTTCCACACTATCTGCCTGCGGTATGCTTAAATCTCATCCCAACTATTAAAAGAAAATTATGCCTCAGCGACTTATTCTTATATACATGTTTCTGACGCAGCTAAACACGCGGGAAGATCCATCCTGAGTGATGTAAGAGAGAAATCCTCTCGAAGTGTGTGTCTGTGCGAACTTTTATTCAGATTTTGTTTGTTGAGGGATTCTCCTTTTTTTTTTTTTTTTTTCTTTGTGACTCGCAATCATGGATCTACGAGGAGACGTAGTACATGTCAATTGGATACGCTATTTGTATTTTGGGGGTGAGTACCATATGTATTATTATCATTAGACATTAACAAACAGTTGATGAATAAGCACTGCTAATGTTAAATACACAAACAAGGCTCAACTTAAAAGAAATAAGTGAAAATGGAAAACATTCTTTTTCATAAGATAAAATTACTTTTGTCTAAATTCATCAAGCATTAATATAAACTATTTTCTGTTTATAAAGAAAAATTAGGAATTTTAAGATTAATAACTTCAGTTTATTTTTTGTACCGAACATTTAAAATTAGAAAATGATTGTCATTTACAGACCTTGTAAATGAGCTTAGAGTCATTCCAAATGCAATATAAAATCATTTGGTTTCCTAATACTACATAAAATAAACTGAATATTTTCATTGATAATGTGGGACATTTTTGAGGAAATTATTAAAGTGAAATAACGATATCCTACTGAAGTAGTAATTTATCCATGTATTACTATTACTACTATACTTTACATAAATAGAAAACTTCAAGTTTAACAGCTTGTTTTTATTTCGAATTATGTTTAAAAAACAATTGCGAATATGACTTTAAAACCAGATATTCATGTTTCCTTACCAGCAGATTTCTTTTGTTTTAAAAAAATTATTCTTTTCTCAGAGTAGACAAAAATTAAGTGTGAACAGACAACAAAACCTGCACTCTGCGCTTTCTTACTGCACATGGTGAGGTTCAGTTAAATTGTTTTCATCCACAGCTGTTTAGAATGATTCGCATCTAGCAAGTTCATAGGTCATACGATATCAGTTGCCATGTGCAATACATTTTTCCTATTAAACCGGGAAAAAAATAAAGAAAAGAACACGAATGCACTTAGGTTGCTCCTAAGCCCAACTTCTTGAAAAGATTTAGAAAAAGTCAAAAAGCAATTAGGAAGCGTTTTAAGGTTTAAATCACCAAGTACTAACTTCTGCTTTGTGAAAACTGATAAACCATTTTATATCTATTAGGTAACACATTTCGTCGCCTGTATAAGCATAATTGTAATGTTAATCGAATATTCTGAAAACCTGGCAGTGGGAATAACATTTGTTATTAAAACTATTAAATTCAAAATTACCTTATACAGGTAGATACCTAGCATATTGGCAAAAAGCGTTCCTAACACGAGAATTTGACATTTATGAATGTAAAAACAGTGTAACAATTCTTTCATTTAAAATTTACTGAATATATTTCCTCTTTTTTTTAATGCTTTCAGAAAATTTCATTGGGCGTTAAGTGTCAAAGAAAAGCTTTTAAACAGTTGAGTAGTGAGTAATCTTTCACCTGACCAGTTGAGTAGTGATGGTGGCAGCCGTGCAAGAGCAACGAAAATTTCATTATTCGTAAAGAAAGAAAATACTCAATCAAAAACAAAGTCCAACATTAAGAATCAGCGTAATTTTTTTAAAATTTAAGCTAATTCTTAGCGTGATATTTAAACTAAAGAAAATACTGTATGACACTATTTTTAGACGTATTCGCTCATTATACTAACAAAAGACAAGCAGCAATTCGCAGAGATATGTCAGTTCATTTCACATTTTGATAAAATCTTCTCTCGTTCGATCAGTCTCTCATTTTGTGTGTGAGACTTATCTGACTTGTCTGATAGTAACATTGGAACAAGCCCACGAAATTCATCGTGGCAGGGAGTGTAAGATTGTGCCTGTCGTTGGCATGAGCCTTGAACATCATACAGGTGACAGTACGACCTCGCTCAGTTCCGGCCCCAATTTTTCTGAAGAACACCCCGGGTTGAGGACGGGCCTCCCCAACCATTAACCTCTCGAGAGTACTTTCGACTAACCGTATATTTGGAGTGCCCCTATGCCGCACGGACGCTATGCATTTACGAGCACCCATGCCTTCTCCTGGACTCGAACCCGGGCTCTACGGTAACGCAGTAGGCTCCTCTATCCACTATACCGTCTGAGCGGCTCTTGTTCTTTTTTTTTTTTTTAGAGAACTTAAAAAAATTATTTTCTGTTGACACAATATAAAACAAGCAACATTCATTTTGAAAGCTTCTACAGCTACTCTTTCTTAAACAACTTTTGTCGGATGATCATGCACCAATTTTTACGACACGAGGGAGAAAATATAACTTTTTTCTCTTCTGTTAATGTTTTATTTTTCTCATTCGGCCGTGTTTTCTTGCACAGCAATTTCTTCTTAGCAGTACAAGAAGTAAAATTCAAAGATAAAAGCATATGCGAAAAAGAAATCTGAGTTATGACACTTTCAGTTTACTTTAGGTACTATTCCATACCTATAATGCATAGATTTTCATACTTTTCCAAGAGAAGTTTACTCCTCATACCGATCGCAAATGCGGAATGGTTATGCATGTATCGATATTAATATGCCAGAACAATTTTCAGAAATATAAATAACTTCAGTATTTTTGGAGGAACCAGCAAATAGCATTTCTGCTCCAGTTCTTATTCCCGTAAGTAAACCATAAAATGTTTCCAAATCATGGCAACACATCCTAGCTTTATTTCATCAAAGAAGTCGCAATGCAGAAGACAATTATTTCAATTGCATTAATAGAAAAGGGAAAGAAGTAATACTAATGCTAAATTTTAAAATGAATTTTAATATACAAAAATTTGTTGTTAGTTTTCTACCATTAGATGTCGGATGAGTTTTAGCAAAACATATAACGAAATATCAATTAATTACTTATTACATCAATTGAGAAAACTGACACGTTATACTCCTTTAACTTTACAATTGAGCGTAAAGAATGTTTCATTGTTTCTACGTAAAATAAATTACGTCTGGTGAAAAATTTCCTCTAAAATGTTAGTATAGTGCTACGGATATGAACAGTGCCCTGACATAAATGCGAATGGAACAGAATTGACCTATTGTATTCAGTTAAGTGAAACAAATGACTATTTACGTATCAAATGTTCGTACCAACCAGACATTCTTATTTGGAACAGCGCAATAGCACTGTCATTTTTGCTTTTGCTTACCTCTATTTTTATAATAACATTGTTCTTTCTTTTCTTTATGTCTTTAGTTTTGTAACAGTTTTTAGTTTTGTTGCATTTTTCTTCCAAGGCAGAAAGTGAGAAAAGTTCTAATTCGCCCTTTTACTAAAGCCAGAATGTTTAGATTGGATGTATGTTTCCCTGAATAAATTGTATTTCCTGAATAAATTATTAAGCATAAAAAAGTACAAATTTCCCATTAATTAATTTACATTTTATTAAATAATATATCTAAAACTGAATTGTGTATCTCCTCAACTAGCATTACTTATCTAGCAAAGTAACAAGCAATTACTATTAGATTCAGCACATTAGCAGAATATAAGAATCTTACAGGGGCTGTCGGACTAAAACTAAGATGGAATTTAGACTCATAGCTCTTCTGCGCTTTGCTTAAACTAAACAATCCAAATTTAGATTATAGGAAGTTAAGTTACTTCAGCTGGGCTAAAATATCAGAAAGCATTATTTTTAATTAAAAGAAAGGCTTTAAGTAAAATTTGAACTAATATATTAACGCAGGAAAAGTATAACTGGGAACTTCACGCTTGGACTTCGATTTGTTTCTGCTACTGCAAATAGAAATTTTTCCTTTTTTCCAAAAACAAGTCCCGTCTACGATCTCTTACACAAAATAGGTCGTGTAGAAGTATAACGTTACAGTAATAACCTGAAACATAAAAAAAGGCGTATGCATTCTATAAGTATAGCGTGATAGCGTACATAACCTTAAACCAATTATTCGGTACTGGTACAGGTTGAAGCTAGGCCGGACTCTGCGTATTACCGAAGATATATATTAGGTATCGCCGCACCTTGCTAACTGTTAAAACTTCGTCCCAATTTTGAGGAATAATCCCCGCGGGCCTACCGAGGACCTTCCACCCATCTTTTCCTACCACTGTCACTTAAGAAAACTTTCGGCTTGCTTTGTATTTTGAATGCCCCCGTGCCGCACAGACACTATGCACTTGCAAAAGTCCTCGCTTTCTTCAGGATTGAATCCGAGCTCAATGGTAAAACATTCAGCATCATTAATCAGAATATAGTAGTTTGGGTGGCAGCCGTAATTCGGTAATTAATCTTTGTTACTCGTAAATAAGTCTAAAGACAGCACATGCAAAACTAATGAAATAACAACACATTGCTGTTCAAAGGACATGGCTGTGATGGTAGATCCCACTTTTGCAAAGGAACTGATGAGAAATCCGAGGTACTTCTGAAAGCGAATTAATGAGCCATCAATAAAATATCTCCTCCATACTATTCAACCATACAACCTGATATGGAGTTTAAGGATATAATGTCCACATGTTAAAATACTGCGCAGGTTATAATGTCAGGACTTGAAAGCATTTATCAATGTTTCACAACACTGAAACAGCAGACTGTGGATTATCATTAAATAAGCACATAATGAAATAACGACAAAACACTATTCAAAGTACGCAATTGGCGGTTGTAGCAACTGACATGTTCGCCGTTGCTCTGAGATAGGAAAGGTGAGGATTAGTTCTTGGATGCAGAAGGTGTGTACCCCAGTATCATGTAGGGCTTTAAAATAAGAAAGACTAATAAGTTACTAAAAGATAAGCTCTAACTGTGGATATATTTAAGATAAATCTCAGGGTAAATTACATAATCTGAACCTATACAGACCTTAAGACAATTCCGATTAGGAAATGTGAAAAGTTAACGATGCCCTTGCTGGGTTGTTCGAGCCATGAATCTTCCATTGCTAGCTGATGTACCTGTTAAGCCTCGTTACTAGGGAAATACGTTAATTCTTTACGCATACCCTCCTCCAGCTTAACCACCCAATTCAACCAGTTCAGGTGGAGATGAATTATCATTCATGGCGTTCTTGGTTTGGTCGCATTGCGTCCTTGGTTGTGTAGCTACCATTACACATTTCAGACAAGAAAATTTGAAGAATTCACTTTTCATCGTCGGGACTCGAATTATTAGCTAAACATGTTAAATGATTCTTTATAAACTAA